AGGCATGAACTGACCACGAGTCAGGGGACCAGAGGCAGAGCTAAGGCATGCATAACAAGTGAGACATGGCTGAGGAGTCCATCTCTGGGGTAAGGAAGACTGAACACAGACCTCAGTTGTAGCTGGTGACCTTGGCCACTTCCCTTCACCTCTCTGGGCCCATTCTCTCACTACGAAAGAGAGGAGATTACAGGAGGGAATCCATAGGAAGGTGCTGGCACACAGTGTTGTAGCTGCCGGTGGCTGTGAAGTCAATTCTGACTCCTAAAAGCCCAGTGTGTGCAGGAGAGAGCAGCTCTGCAGGGCTTTTAAAGCTGCCACCTTTCGGGAGCAGGTACCCGGGTCTGTATCCCACGTGCATCCAGGTGGGTTTGCACTATCAGCTTTTTGCTTTGTTGTAGTTGGTGGTGGTTGTTGTCGTATGCCGTCAAGTCAGATGTGACTCATAGCTGACCCTTCAATGGGCATTCAGTGGCTGTAAACTGCATGGGAGGAGACTGCCCATCTTTCTCACACCCAGCGGCTGTTGGATTTGAACTGCCTGTCTTTGGGACGGCAGTGCAACTCCTTACCACGAGGCCACCGGAACTTCTCCTCTGGCTAGCCATCTGGTGCTTACCCTACCAAGTGCTCGAAGCCGGCCAGGAGGGTGTTTCTGGAAAGCAGATGGCTGACCTAGCTGCATATCGTAGACAGGAAAATGCTGCCACGTCACTGAGCCCCAGGCCAAAGCTGGTGACCAGGCAGGGGCTGGCTGTCCAGGCGGAGCAGTCGTTAGAGGGCCTGGCTGCCAGCAGGGGTTGCAGTGCAAGCTCGGCCGCCGCGACACGTCATGGGAGAACGGGGTCAGCCTGCTTCAGTACAGTCCTGGACACCCTCCGGTCCCTACTTTGTTCTACAGGGCTGCTGAGTCGGAACCCCCTCGAGTGCAGTGGGTTTGGCACTTGGTGTCGGGTAATATCAGTGGCTGAGCTGAGGGCAAGAGTCAACACATGCATGTGTCAGGTACAGAGCTAAGGAGTTTGCATACATACATCATTTAACCTTCACGTCAACCCCAGGAGGCAGGAATGACCGGTATTCCCATTTTGCAGACGAGAAAAGCGAGACATAGAAAAGCTAAGTCACTTGCCCAGAGTCACCCAGCAGAGCTAGGATTTTAAAGGAGGCCGTCCCCAAAACCACAGCCTCGTGCCTCCCTCCACCAAACCCTGGGTGTCTCCTGTCATTCTAGCTTTGCCCTGGTCAAAGACAAGCTGTACCAAGAGAAAGAGAATGTCATCAGCTCTGTGCACACCAAGGTGAAGGGGATCGCGGCTGTGACGGAGGAGGTCACCGAGAACGGAGTGAAGAGAATCTTTGACACTGCGGATTACACCTTCCCTCTGCAGGTGAGCGCCTGTCTGCATCCAGCTCTCTGTCCCACACCCGCCCCTGAGGCTTGGAGCCAACCTTCAAACAGTCCTGTGAAAATCCCAACTGAGAAAAACCTAAAATTGTAAAACTGGGTCAGACCCAACAGCTCAGAGGGGGATGATTCGCTACTTTAGCAAATCCTCCAGGGTTTCTCAAAATAGCAGCGAGTCCGGTGCATTCTGAACACAATCTGATCCACACACACGTGGTTTATATGTGGCTTTTTGCAAGTAAGGCCCTCAAGTCAGCAAACTCTGTCCAGACTTAGGACAAAAAGCATTCCAGTCACCCCCAGGGAGCGAGGGCACCAACCCACTATTGGGGAGGGGCCTTCTCATTGAAAATGCAGTCCTGTTTCCCTGGGACCAGCCAACCGGGATATGGGACCTTATCTGCACAAAGAAAGAAGACAGATGACAAGGAGAGGAGAAGCGCAATGGCTGAGAAAGGGCTGTTAGAAAGTAAAAATCTGCAAGAAAAGAAAATGAAACTTGTGCACAGGAAACATTAAAGGCGGGGGTGGGGGTAGAGGGTTGTTGAAAATAGGAAAGATCAGAGGGAGGGGAGGGAGGGCTCAAAGGTCTTATTTGCAGCCTGGGGAGCTGAAGGCTTTGCAAAGCCCTCATACCCAAGCTTTGCAAACCCAAACCAAGAAGGAAGCTGTGCTAGTTCTAAGCACAGGCCATCAGCATCTCCAGCCTTCTCCCAGGTGGGGGGCTGCCCTATTGCCCTTCAATTAAAATGCTAGCTAATCTCAACAACGCTCAGATGCAGCCCACGCTCCTCCACCTCCACCTCCCCAGGTCCCTGGAGTTTCAATTTAATAGGATTTTACTCTGTCAGAAAAATGAAAAGGCTGCTTTTGAAGTTGGCATGGAAAATGAATACGCAATCAGTTGGCATGTTCCCTGCTCCCCCTTGGCACAGCGGGCGGCTCACACAGCTTTGATATTAAGCCCCCGGCATCCTTTGAGCTGCTCTGAGACCCTAATTTCTAAACTGAAGTTTAGGAGAGTGGGCAGGTGCGCCCTGGGGACCCAGTGAGCTGGGGTATTATGATTAAGTGGTTCTATTAGAAAGGCCCAGATTTTTCCTTCTTGCTTTTTCTCTGCAGGCAAACTCCTTCTTTGTCATGACAAACTATCTCAAGACAGAAGGTCAGGTTCAAGGGCTCTGTCCTGAGGTAAGGAGGGTCTGGGGTGGTGAGAGTTAGATGAGGGGCAAGAGTTCATGGAGGCAGTAAGGGCCAGAGGCTTTCGAAGTGGGGCCTGAGATGGATTAAATGGAAAACCAAACCCGGGGCCTGCTCATAGACTCGGGGGCCCCGAGGCTGAACCCCATGCAGTAGTGGGCAACTACTCTTTCTCCCACGGAACAGCTGGTGAGTTTGAACTGCTGGCCATGGAAGGAGGAGAGGACACAGCAACACTCTCTGCAGCCTGGGGTCCCCCGTCCCTCGGTCCCAAGAGCAGCTCCCCACAGCATGATCCTGGGAGTTGGCACGGGCCAACATGTCCGTGAAGTCTCACAACTTCAAGAGGGTGACAGCACTGCTTGCCTTGTTTTCAGGATCAGAACACAGGTTCAGAGAGGTTATGTCACTTCCCCAAGGACACACAGCTAGCTGGAGGCAACACCAGGGTTAGAAGGCTGGTGCCCTCGTTCCCTGCGTTTCCTACCAAGAGCTCCCGGAGGATGTTCACAGGGCCAGTGCTGGGAGCACCACAAAGCAGTTCGAGCTTGCTCACTTCACAATCCTGGCCTCTGCACACTGGCCAGCCCAACGCTGCCGGATCACTTCCGACTCACAGTGACCCCAGAGGGCAGAGCAGAGCTGTCCCGCTGGGTTCCCAGGCTGCACATCTTTATACAAGCAGACTGTCCCATCTTGAGGAGTCCCTGACCTCCTACCTAGCAGCCCAATGCTTAGCCCACGGTGCCACCTCTCTGGCCCCTAGTGCACGTGCGAAGTCTTTATGTCTGCTCCTCTCACAGTCCACTGCCCCCCCAAATCTGAGCCTCCGCATGAGGTGAGAACCCCCCGCTGAGCCACCTCAGTCCCCATACTGGCCTAAAGCTACATGCCAACCCCCTTCTCTTAACTCCACGCTCAGAGCCATTAAGTAGGACAGACCTCACCCTGTTCCTCCTCCTTTTATGGGAACTCAGAGAATGTGACCTGGCCAAGGTCGCTCAGTTAGACACCAGTGCAGCCACCAGCAAACACAGTTGTGCCTGAGCCCAGCCAGCCGTGGGGCCTCCCCATGAACCCCTGGAAACGCTAGGCACCGCAGAGAGGACAAGGAGCGGCTCGACCCCAGCACCATCTTCAGATTTCCACAAAGAAAACGCAAGGGTAGGCGCCGTGGTGAAAGGCCTCTGCTTCTCCGCCTCTGGACAGAGACGGGCTGTTTGCTCATGCCACAGGCCCGCCTTCCTCATGTCCACCTTCCTGAACGCTGGTCTACGTGCGCCCCACGCACTCTGCAGCCACGGAGCTTCTTGGGCCAGCCCACCTGCTCTCCGTCCTGAGAGCTGTCTCCAAAAGCGTCCGTGACACCATTTCAAAATTTCTAGTTCTTTATATTTTTGTTAAAATATGAATACCAGGCCATAAAACTCACTACGTTAAAGTATCTGGTCCACTGGATTTTCAGTAAATTTACAGAGCTGCAAAGCGTCTTTAATTCCAGAACATGTTCCTCACCCTACAAGACCCTCAGCACCTCTTAGTGGTCACTCCCATCCCCCCTCTCCTCAGCTCCAGGCTAAGACACATCTACTTCCTCCCCGCTCAGATTTGTCTCCTACAGACGGACATTCCGTATGAACAGGATCCTACATGACCTTCTGTGACCAGCATGTGTTTCAAGGTTTCTCCATCTGGCAGCATGCACCAGGACTTGATTTCTCTTTATGACTAACTACTATCACTTGCTATGTGTCAGAGAGCTGGGCAACGACTAGAGATGAAGGAGAACTGATGCCTTTGAGCTGAAGTGCTGCAGAAGAGTACTGAATATACCATGGACTGCTAGGAGAACAGGTTCATCCTGGAGAGGGTTAAACCAGGCTGCTCCTTGGAGACAAGGATTCTGAGGCTTCATCTGACATACTTGGGACACGCTGCAAGGAGGGACCAGTAATTGGAGAGGGACGTCATGCTTGGGAGGGTGGAGGGACAGCACAGGAGAGGGATACCCTCTATGAGATGGATTGATTCAGTGACTGGAGTAATGGGGGTAGGTGTCTTGGAGATGGTGAGGTTGGTACAGGACAGAGCAGGGTTTAGGGATGTTGTACACAGGGTTGCTATGAAGTGCAGGCAACTCAATGGCACATAACAACAACAACAACTATCCCATAATGACAAGTGGGAGCTCAAGTGGCCTAGTGGTAAGAAGCTGAGCTGCAATCCCAAAGGTATGCGAGTTTGAATCCACCAGCTGCTCCGTGGGAGAAGGATGGGCAGTCTCCTCTCGGGCCATTTACTAACTCTGAAAACCCTCTGGAGGGTCAGTTATGGGTTAGTTCAGATTGCCGGCACCCAACAATAACTATTCCATGGGTGCACTGTTTATTCCTTCACCTGTTGATGGACATGGGTTGTTTCTGCTTTGGGCTCTTGTGTGTCGGCTGTTGTGTGGCCACTGTGCACAGGCCCCTGGTGGACACAGTAGCCTGTCTCTAATGCTGTCTCTGTTTGCAACCCCCTCCCATCTTTCTGCAGTTCCCCACCCCTCGGACAATCTGCTCCAGTGACCGGAGTTGTAAAAAAGGATGGATGGACCCCCAAAGCAAAGGTACCCTCTGTCTCCTTTCCTGAGGCCTGGTGTGGGATGGACGGGCATCGTGGTGACACTCACGATGCCAGCGTCAGCTCTCCCACTCATTCTGCCACCACCAAGCCACAGGCAAGCTGTGTGTGGCGCAGCTCTGTCCCCCGGGACCACAGGCCTGCCGCCCAAGCCCCAGCCAAGGGCTCCTCTGAGCCTAACAGACAGAGCGGGCTCAGGGTTCTGCCTGGCAGACGCATCACATAGTGACTCTAAACTGCTCCCCATGTTATCCCCAAAGGTTAAGGAACATGTCCATCACCCTAGGGGTGTCATCACCCCAGCTGCCCCTGAGTCCCTGGGAGCAATTCTATAGTAATCTGCAGAACTTCCACACAATGTCTCTTGTTTTAGTTCACTAAGGCATGTATTGCATTTATGTCATAATCATGCACCTTGAGTTGACGTGGAAATAATTTTAACACTAGTTACTATCCAGATAAACCTCACTCCCTAAAAATCTGTTAGTATTATGAGGTTCCAGGAAGACCCAGCATGTGTACCAGGACTCTGTGCTCCCCTGGAACGTACCTGGGAACTCAGTTGTCCATTCAAGAAGCCTGGGTCTCATCTCACCAAACCAAGCCAGATAGTGCACCTACATAGCTCCTTTCTAGGGCACTTTGTCTTCTTATTTAAAAGAAGAAGAAATAGGGGAGCTCTGGTGGCCTAGTGGCAAGAAGCTGTACTGCAATCCTAGGGGTACGCAGTTCGAATCCACCAGATGCTCTGCTGGAGAAGGAGGGGCAATCTCCTCCTGTACCAGTCAGATCCAATTTGATGGTACACACACAAAAAATAATAAAATTTTTTAAAGCCCCTTCAGAGGCTCTGAAGTCTTCTTGACATTTTCCTGCCGCAAAATATATTCAGTTGACCTTCAACAACAAAGACTTAAACTACAGGCACTTACAACATCTGAGCTCACCGAAATAACAAGAGTGGAAAGTCCACTTCTAATTGGGCCTGTGCACTCCAGATCCGCACTGCTCCAGGGTCACCTACGTAACAGAAAAGCTGTCCTTTCAGCCACGTGGAGGTGGGCAACTACATAATATTAAGTATGTGCGTCATGAAACGTTTTCACCCCCTAGTTCCCATCGGCCCCCAACCACGAGTGTATTTTTTGTCTCTAACTCTGTCTAGTCCAGCTGTTTCATGTGAGTGTGCTCACGCCGTGTGTCGCCCCTCACATCTGACCTACTTTACTCGGCATGATGCGCTCACGGCTCACCCACCGCACAGCATGGAGCAGACCTCGGTGTGGATGTACCGCGTGTGCTTGTTTCTATGTTTCTGGCGGGTATTTGGGTTGCTTCCACCTGCTGACCACTGTGAAGTGCGCTGCCATCAACACCGGCACGCAAGGACCTATTTGAGTCCCTGCCTTCATTTTTTGGGGTCTCTTGGCTCTTATTTAGAAAACCTTCTATTGCTCGGCTGTTTAATGCCCCCCCTCCCCATACACCTGTGATTGGGATGGGGATGTGGGACACTGAGGTGCCTGCCTGAAGTCAGGAGCAGTCGTGTTCAAGTGTGGCTGACTGTCTGCCTTCTGGAAGTTTCTTCTCTTTCACACTGTTGTGTCTACACCCCTTGATCCCTACAGGAGTCCAGACTGGACGGTGCATACAGTACAAATCTACTGTGAAAACCTGTGAAGTGTCCGCCTGGTGCCCCATCGAGGCAGTGGAAGAAGCGCCCCGGTGAGTGGCATGATGGGGACAGACGTGGTGGCCCTCAGTGGAGAGTTGGTCAGCGCTGCTCAGACCTTTCCTTCCCTCATTAGTCCAATCACACACACACACACGCGCGTGCGCAAATTCACACAGACACATGTGGACATAACCCGCAGACACACACAGGCACACCTGTGCAGGCATCCCCAGGGGCACACATGAAGACTAACTGCTCCTAGCAGTGTGACAGTCCTAGGCCAGCTCTGTTTAACAGACCTCAGCCCCAGGAAGAGAACGCTCTGGACCTGTGCTGTCCGGTAAGGCAGCCTCTAGCTGCATATGGTTACTGAGCACTGGAAATGTGACCACTGTGACTGAGAAAATGATTTTTCCTCTAACTTCGTTTACCTAGTCCTATGTGTCCTGTGACTCCCATGGACAGCAGGAAAGTTCTAGACCAACGTAACTCAGGGCCACTGAGGAGAGGATGATGATGTAAAGATAAGATCACCTTCACGTGGCTTCTAGAAGATTCCAGCAAAGGTCCCTGATGGCAGGGTGGGTCACTAGGCAACATCACCGCCTCTCAGTCATTAAAGATCTTACTCCTAACAGGCTGCAAGGAGTCAGACTCAGCTCAGTAACACTGGTGGTGTAGTGTGCAGGGTGCTGCACTGCTATCTGAAAGGTCTGGGGTTCAAATCCACTAGCCGCTCTGAAAGAGAGAGAAACATTTGCCTCCTGTTTGCTTTACGGCCCCAGAAACTCAATGGAGGGTCAGCTGTCAGAACCAGCTGTGTTCCAGCTGCTTTTCTTGCTCAGGGGAGAAACCGTCCCAGAAGGGACTGTCCGGGGCCTGGAAGCCCAGCCTGGGCAACACATGTCCACCTCATGTCACCTGTCCCTGTGTCAGCTGTGCCAGTCACCCCCAGCCACCACCTGCACTTCCAGCATGCTGGTCCCGGGCTACGTTTTCCACGTGCTCTTAGATAAGCCACTCCCTGAACATCAGCCGTCTCATGTGACGTGTGAGCGGACAGAAGACGAGACACTAATCACCGACTCAACAAATCTATTAGCATGCAGCTGTAACCCTACCAGAGATGTGATTCCCACACGGCTATGGCAAGAGACTGTGCTAAAAATCTTACGTAAAAGACATGAAAGCCCAGATAGGGAGCTGACCCCGAGGCCCCCGTAGTCTAACAGAAAAGAGGTGAACATGGGCCAAAAACCCAAACCCCCACCCTCAGGTCGCTCACAACCCGAGCTGCCCCGTGGGGTCCCTAAGGCCGCAGGTCTCTAGGGAAGCAGATGGTAGCACCTCTCGCCCACGGGGCAGCTGGTGGGCTTGGACTACTGACCTTCTGGCAAGTGGCCCATGCTTGGCCCACGGTGACCAGGGCTCTTTAGGATCTGGACAGAGGGCTGTTTCCAGATGGAGGGACGTACATCCTGAGCGGAAAACGGACTGTGATCCCTGACATTTCAGGGCCCTGTCTGCAGCCTCTGCGTGTTGCCCAGGAAGCGTGGGTTTAGAGCGTGCTTGGGCCAGAGAACATGGCACGCAGCAGGTGTTAGACAGAGGGAAGGTTTCGACTGTCTCTTTTTTTCCAATGCAAGTGATAGAAATTCAACTTACTTTTGCCATTAAAAATAGGGTACTGTTTTTACTCTTGTAAATGAGGAAGTGAGGGGTCCTGGCTTCAAGCAAGGTCTGATCCAGGCTTTGCACGATGCCATCAAGGTTCATATTCCCCATCTCCTCCTCTTTAACTCCCAGCTACTCTCTCTTCCATTTTTGTTCTCACACCATCAAGTTCAAAACTCCTTGTCAATGGCTTGGTTCTGTCTAATAGCTGACCGTGCACTGGGTTTCTGGGACTATAAATCGAACAGGAGGCAAATGTTTATCTTTCTCTTTCAGAGTCGCTGGTGGATTTGAACCCCAGACCTTTTGGATAGCAATTCAGCATCCTGCACACAACACTGCTAGTGTTACTGAGTCAATTCTGACTCGTTGCAACCCTTTAGAATCGTCCCAAGGGGCCTCCAAGGGCGCAGTCTCTGCAGAAGCAGACTCTACCCGTCCTCCTTAGGGCAGCCGATGGGTTCAAACCTCTGCCCTTTTGTTTAGTATCCCAAAGCTTCATCCACTGTGCCACCAGGGCTCCTGACATGCTCTTTACTACTAAAAATCTCTGCAGGAAATGAGCATTGTCAGCCGTTCTTACATGAGCCCTGAAATTGTCTCACTGACCTGAGTGATGAAACCATCTACCACTGTCCTCATTGCAACCAGGACCTGAGTCACGGCCTCCCCAGAGGCTGCCGGGTGGGCAGGCCATTGTAGTGGCTTCCAGGGGCCACAGAGTTCAGTACGATGCATAAGGACCCTAGGAACCTGCCTCATCTCTGCTACCCTGCCGCGCGCACTGGCTGGGTCCGTCTCACTCTGAGTCCGTCTCACTCAAGTCTTTGGCCCAGCAGGAGACAGATGATCTACCAGATGTGCTTTCTGGGAGGCAGGTCTCTCCAGAAATTGAGGGGCTACAACCAAGGAGGAGGAAACTGAGGCATGACTTTCCGAAAGGAGAATGGATTCCAGACAGGGGAAAATGACCCTGGTCTCCACAGCTCCACCTCAGACAGGACTGAAGCAAGGAGGCCTGAGAAGAAGAGGCAGACCACTCCTGGACCTTCTTCCAAATACTCTCGCTCCTTTCTCACTGCTACTCCCAGCGCAGATCTGCCACCTTCTCAGCTGCACCAGGCCAGCTGCCTCAGAAACACTAAAGCTTGCTTCTCCGTGCTGCGTTCACGCCATCTTTAAAAGTGTCAACTCCCAAGGACCATCTCTGACCCCCTGGTCATTGCTCTGCCCTTGGCTTCCGTCACTGTGCCCTGTGTGTGGTGAATAAGTGAATGAATGGATAGATGGCTGCTTGCTTGGATAGATTTCCTTTAGTATAAATTCACACTCCCAGGCTGCTCCTCGGAGGCAAGGATTCTGAAGCTTTGTCTGACATACTTTGGACATGCTGCAAGATGGACATCATGCTTGGGAGGGGGGAGGGACAGCGCAGGAGAGGAAGACCCTCGATAAGGTGAACTGATTCAGTCACTGGGGTAATGGGGCTAGGTGTGTTGGAGATGGTGAGATTGGCACAGGACAGAGCAGAGTTTAGGGCTGTTGTACACAGGGTCGCTAGGAGTCGCAGGTGACTCGATGGCACATAACAAGAACAATGCATTGAAAAGGCACACGGTTCAAATCGACCAGGCTGCTCTATGTGAGAATGATGGGACGTCTCCTCCTGTGTGATTTCTGTCTCTGAAAACCCACTGGATGGTCAGCTAGGAGTCATCTCTAACTTGAAAGTACACAACAACAATGCACGGGAAGCTCTGGCGGCCTAGAGGGAGTCGCACTGCTAACGCAAAGGCAGGCAGTTCGAATCCACCAGCTGCTCCATGGGGAAAAATGACGGGCAATTTCCTACCATGCACGTTTTAGCCTCAGAAAAACCACTGGGGAGTCAGTTATGAGTTGGGCTTATAACACAACACAACAACATACAAGGAATTCTCAACACTCAGCACCTCCTCAGAAGAGCTGACTTACTCACCAGAGAAGCAGCCCTGGCAGCACAACAGTTACAACAGTTAGCATGTGACTGCTAATCAAAAGGTCGGCAGTTCAAACCCCAGAGCCATTCCTAGGAAAAAGGCCTGCTAGTCACTCTCATCAATACACACGGCCTAGGAAACGCCACGGGGCCGCCCAGCTGTGTCCTGTGGGGTCCCTGCGGTGGGGACCCACTCAGTACACAACAGCAGCCCACACTGAGCATCTCTGTGCTGTGCGGGTTGGAATCCACTCGAGTGTGGCGGGTTTGGCTGTGGGTGTTGTGTGGCCCTGTGCCGCCAGCTGGGAAGGCCGGGAGGACAAACGCCTGTGTCAGTCAGGCTGCAGGCGCTCCAGGCCTCATGGGAACTGAAGACGCGCGGGAGCCGAGTGCTATTATTCTGAGCCGATGAGTCTCATCCCTCCCCAACTCTGAGCGCAGTGACCTCTTGGCAGCCTGAAATCAGTCACAGTGGAACAAGTACATCACAGTCAGAAAGGGCCACACATCGGGGCTCCGCTGGTTTGGACTTCACGCTCCCTGGAGAGCTGGTGCTTAAGCCAGGATAACAGTGAACCCCCATAAACAGCACGTTAGCATGTGAGAAGCATCAGAGTCAGTGCTGACGGGGACTCAGGCCGGAAGGGAACCTTCCTGGAAACCACTCGGGAAGTTTGGGGGAAACTGTAGGGTGTTGCCCACTGCTGTGACTGCTGTGTGTGCCACTGAGTTTGAACCGGTCCACAGCTGACCCCACAGGGTTTTTAGAGGGGTTTTAGAGGCTGTGTGTGGAACAAGAGAAGACTGCCCATCTCTCCCCGGTGGTGGATCCAAACCTGGCACCTTTGAGTGGAGCACAGCTCCTTGCCTCTAGTCTCAAGAGAGGAACCAGAGGCCCCCTGGTCCACTGGGACGGACAGGCTTCCTCAGTCGCTGCGGCCTCTCTATCCCCTTCTCCTCCTCTGTCTCAGGCCCGCCCTCCTGGAGAGTGCCGAGAACTTCACTGTGCTCATCAAGAACAATATCGACTTCCCCGGCCACAACTACACCACGTAAGTACCCAGCAGGCCCGGCCAGAGAAGGAATCACCCCGACACCCGGCAGCAACACTGCCTTTGTTACCACAACGTCTGTGGGCTGGGAATCTGAGAACGCCTTTGCTGGGTCGTGGAGGCTCTAGATTTCTCAGGTGGCAGTCATGCCATCCAAAGGGCTGCCGTCATCTCCAGGCACCCTCACGTGGTGGCTGGAAGTGGGGATCAGTCCTTCACCACACAGGCCTCTCCCAATGGCCACCTGCACATCCCACAACATGACGGCCACATGGCAGCTGGCTGCCCCCGGAGTGATTCGGAAGAGGCAGCACAAGCAATGGAGAGACCACACGAGACCATGCACACATGTCATCCAACAACACTGGTTTCATTGTTCACAATGTGGCAACATTCTCATTCTTTCCATTCTGGTTGTTCCACTTCTGTTAATTCAGTTTCCCCGCCTCCTCTCGCATCTGCATTCTAGGGTCTGTTGACCATTTGGTCTCAGGAATGATAGTGTTAATTTCATGAGCCAATCTGTTCTTTAGTTGGAAGGTGAACTGGAGAGTGGTTTCAGTTCAAATTTGAAAGACTATCTAGGGGCGGTAATCTCAGCAGTTCCTCCAGTGTCAACTGGTCCAGTGTATCTGGCCTTTTTAAAGAGACGATACAGTCTCTTCTCACCTTTCCCAGAGGTGATATGCCATCGCTTCCTCCCGCCTTGGAATGATGCAGGAGAGGACTGTGGGACTGTGTAGGTGTGGGACTCTCAGGAGGGGGGACCACTGGGGGCTTCCTGGAGCCCGGATGCACACTGGATTGCTGCTATGAAGAGAAGTATCCCACCTTCCAACAGAGATGTTTGTGCACTTGTGGGTTTGGTGTTTTTTTTTCCTTGCAGGAGAAACATCTTGCCAGGTTTTAACATCTCTTGCACCTTTAACAAGACTCTGAATCCACAATGTCCCATTTTCCGACTGGGAGATATCTTCCGAGAAACAGGAGATAACTTTTCAGATGTGGCAATCAAGGTCAGTTGTGCCTTCGGATGGCGGATCATAAACACGTGTGGTGGTGTCCGGCCGCCTCTGACCGCGTGATGAGGAGGCGGCCTCATTATCAGCACCCTGTGAGGGAGGGGTCAGGGGAGCCTCATCTCTCTCATCAATTCTCACACCAATTTTCCCTTCCACTGTACTCTCTCTCTCTGCCACACACAACTCACGGACCACACTTACAGTTCTAAAGTTTCGTAGGGAAGTAACAGATTCCAGCTTCAGATCAACAGGCTCAGATACAGCCCTTCACTCAAGACTGCCTGTTATCTGCCGTGCCTGTAGGCAGCTCGCTCTCTCTGACGCTTAGTCCCTCGGCCTGGCTTCTGCCCTATGTGGGCAAGGGCTACCAAGCTTTAAGTTCTGCTGATAAACACCTGACTCCACCAGTCAGCCTTGGCCCAGAAACACCCAGCTCTGGCTCCCTGGGGCAGTGGTGGTGGAGGCTCCTCACTCCACCAGCAAGCCTCTGGCTAACAGACACTGCTTTCTCCTTCCTTGAGCTGGAAAGCCCACCACGCCATCTTCTGCCAGCCTCCTGGCTCCTAATTTTGTTGCTGCCTTTTCTCTGCCTCTGGCTCTTGCCATCTCTCATTGTCTTTGATATTACAGGTCTCTGTCTCCTGAATCATGCAGGCTCCCAGCAAAGGAATCCTGGGTCCAAAGAATGAAGTATACTCCCATTTTTTTCTTCTTCTTAGTGGCCAGGAGGTCTCCCTTTCTGCCTCAAGACGGCTCATTTTAAGACTAACAGGATGGCAAAGCTGACCAATTTTCTTATTAGGGTCCCATATATCTTATTTTCAAGCACTTTGCTTACATTAATAGCAAGCTACCTCACCTGCATGGCTCCACCAAGTTCACCTGGAAGAAGATACAAACACTATAGCTAGAATTCACTGACACAGGGATGGACAGTGCCAAGTGGGTCTTCCTGACAGGGTTCGCACTGGTACAAGCGTCTCACACACGTGTGCATGGTGCCAAGGACTTTACTTCATGACCTCATCTAGTCCCACAAAAGCCCTGTGAGTGATATCAAACACACTCACTGCCATAAAACTGGAACTGACTCACAGCGGACCGTCTAGCACGTTTTCAGAGGCTAGAATCACACAGGAGGAGATTGTCCATTGTTCTTCTGCAGAGTCGCTGGTGGATATGAACCGCCAGAGAGGTGCAGCTTTGGGGTTCCCAGTACAGCTGCCTGCAGACTAGACCACCGGAGCTCCCTAAGAGTGAGAAACTCGGTGTATTACTTTTCTTGGCTTTTCTCTAACAAAATAGGAAAAGCTTTTTTCAAAACAAAGGTGTGTTTTGTCTGTTCTGGAGGCTGGGAGCCGAACCCGCTCGCTGGTGGTGCTGATTCCTGCTGAGGCTCTGAGAGTCCCTGCCGTGTGCCTCCTCCTTGCTTCTGGGGACTCCTGCTAATTCCTGTTCTTCAGCTTGCAGCTGTGTCTGCCTCCAATCATCTGCAGCTCATCTTTTTTTTGTCTCCCTGTCTCTCTATATCTTGTCTTTTATAGAGTCAGTCATTTAGAATGAGGTCTCAGCCTACACTAGTGGAATCTCATTTTAACCTTCGTGAGAACATCTTCAAAGACCGTACTTCCAAATAAGGTCACACTCACAGCACCAGGGTTAGGACTCCTACATATTTTTACGCGAGCAAGGGGGTGGGGACACACTTTAACCTGTAACAAGTGGGTTAGGGATAGCTGAGGGTCAAGCATGGTCTGGAGCTGGGTCTCGGAGCATGGTGAGCACTTATTTAGAAAGATAGGTGAGAAGCACATTTATTTGGGAGAAAGGGCAAGGGTTAAGACTTAAGAAGTGTGAAATGTATTTAGGGATAAGTGTAGACAGTTTGGCATAAGAGCTTTATCTAACGATGTGTTAGGAAAAAGAGCAGAAAAGCTACATCACGGAAGACCGTGCAGATTGCAGTCTAACACGGCCAGCCTTTATCTCCGGTGGGGCTGTTAACGATGTTTGATTACAGGGAGTGGTTTGGTGAGCAGTGTATTCTAGGAGGATAACTCCAGCGACAGCATGTCCCATATGGCAGGAGGAGCAGGGAGCCGGGTTGATGATGGTTGCATAATATTTGTATAAGTTAGATAGTACTTCATATATGGCTTCCAAATATTTACTAAGCCTGTCCTTCTACAAGTCAAATCTTTCCTTCCACACGCCCACCCCTGTTGTTGTTAAGTGGTGTTGAGTCAGAAGCGACTCATAGCGACCCTATGAACGAAAGACCTAGACACTTACATAGCTTCCATCATTTCCCCAAGTTCACAGGGTTTCTGGAGGCAAGCTATTTTTGAAGTGGATGCCCCTCCTGCTTCCAAGCATTTTAATCGGGGAGCTCCACCAAACACTGTCCACCATGGGTAACCATTATTGCATTGGACACATCAGGGTCACAGAGTTCAGCATCACAGCAACCACGAGTTACCACTGTGAGCTAGTGGACAGACCAGGGCTATACAACCTAGAAAAACGTTTGACCAAAACCAATTAAAAACAGGGCTGAGGGCGGCAGATTAGAGTTGCCCACCTTTGGCTTGGTAGCATCACTCTCTGTCCACTAGACCAACTGATCTCTCTCTATGCTGTTGTTAAGTGCCATCAAGTCGGAGGTAGAAAACCCAACATGGAGAACTGGCTGGTAGCTGTGTGATCCCACGTCTCAGGGCACTTAGTGACCACTTGTTTGCCTTCTCCAGGGTGGAATCATGGGCATTGAGATCTACTGGGACTGCAATCTGGACAAGTGGTTCCATCACTGCAGACCTAAGTACAGCTTCCGTCGCCTTGACGACAAAACCACCAATGAGTCCCTGTACCCTGGCTACAACTTCAGGTAACTGGGCCCCGCAGCTCAGGGTCCAGCCAGCGGCAGGCCTGTGGGGCCTCCAGGGGTCGGTGTAAAAGCCTCAGGACTCAGTGAAACTAGGCATCGGTTCCCAAGGCAACAAGATGACCCCAAGAGACTTCCTCTAGGAAATAGGCCATGGCTGGATTTTTGTGCCATTTTTTTCCTCTTTAATTATTACACAGAGAAGCACACTTTGTACTTGATAAAAGTTTGGAAACTCGAGGATCACAGTTGCTGTTGTCAGATAGTGTCGGGTTGGTCCCCACTCCCAGGGAGTACATGCTCAGCAGAACGAGACCCTGCCCCGGCCAGCACCATGTCCACAATCCTTGCTGCTCTGGCCTGCTGCTGCGAGCGTGCTGTCAACCCGGGAGGCCTCCTCTGTTTCACTGACCCTCTATTTACCAGGCATGATGTCCTTCTCCAGGGATTAGTTCTTCCTGAAATATATTCAAAGCATGACTGTCCCTTTTCCAAAGTAGATCTGTTTGTCCTTCCGGCCATTATGCTATTGTCAATACTCTTTGCCAACACCATAAATCAAAGGCTTAAGTTCTTCTTCAGCCTTCCAGCTTTCATATGCATATGAAGTGATCGCAAATAGCATGGCCTGATCAAGAATACCTTAGTCCTCAAAGTTACATCATTGCTCTTTAAAACCTAACTCCTTTACAGCAGGGGGGAAAAGCATAGAGAAAAGTCTAAGAATTGCCCATTGTTGCTCCATCCTGAGATAGTCCATGTTTGGGTCACTCTGAGGAACAGCTATACTTGTGTCTTCAGTAAATGTGTATCCTGCACCCACACGAATCACACGTGACTTGATGGCACTTAGCAATGACAACTCGAGCCTTTCCAGAGAGCTCAGGTGGCAGGTCTGAAAGGAGCTGCACTGCTCCCCCAGAGGCAGGGCCTCTCTGCCAGTTCAAATCAACCAGCGGTCAGCAGGAGAAAGACGGGGACCCTGGACACAGCCATGGACACTGGCTGGAGCTCAGCCAAGACCAGGCTTCAACTGAATGGCAACCAGCTAACAGTCGAGCTGATACACATTTCTGAAGAGCCCTGGTGGCACGGCAGTTAAAGTGTCCATCTGCTAACAAAGAGTGCAGTTGACAGAGCCCCCAGTCACCCCGCTGAGAAAATGAGGCTGTCTGCATCTACAAATGCACAGCCTAGAGCCATGAGGGGCCTGCTCTGCCCTGTCCGGTGGGGTCAGAAGGAGCTCTGCAGTAGTGGGTCCACGTACTGTTCTCACACGTGCAGCTGGCCTAACTACTCCAGGCGGCCTCTCCCCGCCCACACGTGCGCCAATGCTCCTTGACACTTTGCTGGATCTGTGCTAACTGCACCCCCAGCCAGTGCTACACTTCCCACTACCAAGGGTAAAGTCTCCACCAGGCACACTCCTCCCCTCCCCACTCCGCCCTGGCAGCCTTTGATGCACTCTGGCCTCTCGATAGTCATCTGTCCTCATCCTCTAAAAGAGAGATCATCACATATTCTTTACATGTGCTCGTGTTTTTAGACCTGCAGTGTTTCAAACGCTGGGACATAAAACTTAACTACTTTTCATGAAAACTTGTGTTATTTCACAATGCTGGGCCCCCACTCAGCCTGGCAACAACTGACTGGAACTGAGTGTCTGTGGTCCTTTTAGAAAGAAGGTGCAGTTTGCCACAGTCCTCACCACTCCTTACTGCCTTATGCCTGGTCTGCATCAGTCCTTTTTGCTACTTGCCTGGTCCAGTAGGGATCTGGGTTAGAGGCCTTCAACTTAAAGACTGCTTTGATCAAGGCACAAAAGGCTTTTTACCTCATCTGGCTGAGTCGCGTGTCATGCAGGGCCCTGAAAGCAGCTCCTAGTTTTCGGTAAGGCTTTCTTTGCTCATCCCTGCGGCTCTGTTGAATAGGTTGATGGCCATTAGCAAGAAGAAAAGACAGGATCAGTGGTCCCCTGACGCCCTCCCAGCTGCTCTCCTAGCCGTCAGCAGATGCATGCAGGGCAATGTACTGTTCCAAAATCAGCAAGGCTCTTGGACTCGCTGAGCTAAGCCTAAGAATATCTGCTCCTGAAGCGATTTGAGCCTTCCACAGGACTGAGGTGGTCGCAACAGTACATTATTTAGAACAAAGTGTTAGTGTACTTGTCTTTTAGAATGGGCACACGAAGAAATATTTAGCCAAAAAGAAACCCTTGAGATCTAATGTGGAAATGGACAAGCTGTTTTCAAATCCTAGCCAAGGTCACTGAGTAGGAACCCATCAGCCAGGTATATGAGGGTTGAACGGCCACAGAACTTTCCAAAACGTAGGGAACTGTTAATGGTCCATCACAGCAAAGAGCCCTGGTGGTACAACAATTCACTTGGCTGTTAATCAGAAGGTCAGTGGGCCCCTGGAGACCTGCTTGCATAAACAGCACAGCCTAGTAGACGTGATGGTGCAGGACTCCTCTGCCACGTGCGTCGCTGTGGGTCAAGGGGGCTTGATGGCACCCAACAACAACAATCACTTTACGGAATGTTGTCCTTTACAGGAAGACCCAGGGCTGAATGGCCCTGTTCAGTGAGCATTTGATTCTGTTCATCTGGACCACGTGTAAATGGGGCAGGCCCACGTACAACCCACAGGGCCTCCCTCATCAGAAGGGGGGTGTACGCAAAAGAACAAGCTTGGACAGAGTCTGGTGGTTCTCAAAGTCGGTCCACAGACCAGCGCATCAGAATCACCCTGTAACTTTGCTGAGAAGCAGCTTCCTAGGAATATCCCGGACCTCTGAGGACACCGTTTAGGACAAGGTCTCGGACTTTGCTTTCTGAACAGGCTTCTCATGTGGCTCTTGCTCTCAGTTTAAGAACCACTGGATGAGACCCTGACTACAGAAATTCAAGGCCTTACCGTCCAGCATAAACCCTCCCAGACAAGCCATCCTACACAGGCCTGGATGAACGGATGCATGCATGCCTGGGTGGACACAGCAGGAAGGTTAGCAGGCAAATGTGTTAACTGCTTGCATTACCCAGGAACACACAGAGAGTGCCAACCCAGGATGCTGAGTGGTGACATATGATTGTGCTGTGGTATTCTGCTCGTCACAAAGTTCAACACAGAATTCTCAGGTGGCCCTGCAATTCCCTCTTGGGTGTATATTCCTAAGGCTTGAAATCAAGGACTCAAACTTGCCTGTAAGTTTCTCCAGCATTATTCACAATGATTAAAAAAGGTGGGCACATTTTGCAAGTGTCTCATCAAGATGAACGAATAGAGTCCTTCAATAGATGAATGTTGCTGTTGTTATGTGCTTGCGACTCATAGCGACCCTGAAACCTGCTCAGTCGTGTGCCAACCTTATAGCCTCTGACACACCTCCCTCCATTACCTCAGTCACCACCGAATCAATCCGTCTCATCGAGGGTCTTCCTCTCCTGTGCTGCCCCTCCACCCTCCCAAGCATGACGTCCCTCTCCAAGGACCTGTCCATCCCACCTTGCAACATGTCCAAAGTATGTCAGACAAAGCCTCAGAATCTTTGCCTCCACGGAGCAGCCTGGCTTCACCCTCTCCAGGACAAACCTGTTTGTTTTCCTTGCAGCCCATCATGTATTCGACACTCTTCTCCAGCACCACAGCTCAAAGGCATCAATCCTCTTTAGATAAACAGAATGTGAGGCGTATTTAGCCATCAGAAGGAATGAAGTTCTCATACAGGCGCCAAAGTGACTAGACAGTAAAACATACTCATTGGGAGACTCACTCACTGTCCTTCTGCTGTCCAGTCAGAGGCTACGCACAGCTGAACCTCCCTTGAGTTCCAAGGCTCTACATCGTGATGGAGAGGCCTGCCGACCTTTCCTCTACAGAGCAGGAGGTGGACCGGAGCCAGCAGAAGGCGTGTGGCCTTAGGGTAGCAGGGCAGCTCCGTATGGGTGACCAGAGCTCCAGAAAAGAAAGACATCACAAGATGCCTTTGATAGAAATAACTAGAACAGGCAGGTGCACGGAGGTAGATGCATTGTTACCAACAGTGGAGGGGAACGGGAGGCTGGTGCTTAATGGGCTCTGGGCTTTTGCTGGGGGTCATGGAGTGTGTCCACCCGTATCGCTGAGGGTCTTCCTCTCCCATTGACTCTTTAACAAGTAGGATGTCCTTCTCTGGGGACTGATATTTTACCACCCCTCCCCACACATGAAACCGAACATCCCAAATCCCTCAGCAGAGCAGGAGAAAGAACTATCTGGAAATAGAAATCACCCGAGATCCAAAGTCACCTGACAGATCAGGCATTGAAATGCCTGGGAACGTCCAAGCCGTCTCAACGGCACATTGGGGTGGTTTGTACAAAGCAGCAGCTTGAGATGCCCTGTGTTTCACGAGGGTACCTGTTTCCTCTCTGCACATCTGAAGATAAATTGTAAACTAATAACTCAAAAAACTGAAAACACCTTCATCTAAAAACAGCAGCCCAAAGGTGGGGAGAGGAAGACTAACACATTTTACGAGGACACAGTTTAAGCAAGTGCTGTTACACCGAGGCACTTGGTGGTGCAGCGCAAGCACGCAGCTGCTGGCCACAAGGCTGGTGATTCGAAGTCACCAGGTCCTCCGGGGGAAAAGGACGTGGCAGTCTGTAAGGTCTACAAAGACCTTCAGCCTTGAGCCCATGGGGCAGTCATGCTACATTCTGCAGGATCACCATCAGGAATACACTTGATGGCAACAGACTGAAAACCAGCTTATTACACCATCTGACCTGACTCCAGCTCTAGGGAGCTCTGCACACATTTGGGGTGGTGACTGAGGTGCTTAGAAGCCCCTGGGGAGTACAATAGTTAAGGTTCGCCTTCTATTCTAGAAACCAAACTTTTTTTTCTTTCTTGATCTACAATTCACAGAACATAAAATGAAGCATTTTAAAGTAAACAATTCGGTGGTGTTTAATCCGTCCACAGCATTGTGAAATCACTCTGTCACTTCCACCAAGCAGTTACACCCTCCCCTCCCACCAAAGCTGTCCCCCCCTCCCCACCTCCACAAGGGAGACTCAGATTTCTGGGAGTTGTTTTTAAAAGTCTCTGCTTGTTGTTATTTCTCTGCTTCTAGCTCAGAAACTGTTCGTTTTGGCCTTAAACTAGAAGCCACTTCTCTTGATTTTCGCTGAGTAGCAAAGGAGAAGCACAGCTGATATGATCAAGTGGCTGTTGGCCTCAGGGGTCACGAGGGCAGAGGATGGGTTAGGGCGGTGCCTTCCAGGTGCCAGCTCCAGCAGGGTGAGGCAGTGACGGGGTGCTGGCCCAGCTCCTGTGCTGGGGTTTCCACTCATGCAATGATAGCAAGTACAGGAAGATTTTTATAAACACGGACCCTTTTTGTCTCACAGATACGCCAAGTACTATAAGGAGTCAGGTATTGAAAAGCGCACGCTGATAAAAGTCTTTGGGATCCGTTTTGACATCCTGGTGTTCGGCTCAGTAAGTGTCTGCTCCCAGCCCCTGGCATTTCCATTCCTGCCTGTGGGAAACCAATTTGCTCAGTACTTTCACTCAGATCACAATAAAAAATAAAATTAAAACATTCTGAGGCTTGGAAAACAAAGAAAAGAGAGGACATGATTCTAAAAGTTTGTAAACAACAGAGCCTCATTTGGCCTGACTCAGGAGACACGCCTTTTCCTGGGGACTGTGGGGCATTCCAGCCAGCGGCCTCTCCTCTCTGACAGGTGCCTGCTGCACACGGATGGGAATCCCATCACATAAACGCTCCCTTTCTGTTTCCAGGGAGGAAAATTCGACATCATCCAGCTGCTTGTCTACATTGGATCAACTCTCTCCTATTTTGGCTTGGTAAGGATCTCTTAAGTTTTACTCAAACGATATGGCAAAAAGAAATGTCAGTTATTTCCGCAGCACAGAGAGGGATGTGTTGGGAACATCCGCTGAGTGAGAAGAGTCAGGCACAAAAGGATCAGCAGTGCATGATCCCACCTGCAGGAAATACCCTCAAGAGGCAAACGTGTAGAGACTATGGTTTGGGGGGGCAGTGGTGGCAGCTGCATGGTGTGCTGGGTAAAGCCAATGTCACCAGGCTGTACACGCAGAGTGAACGGCTGCAGTGGCAGGTCTGGTGACGTGTGCATGTGTTCACCCACGCGCGATTATGGAGATCCCAGCCGCCGAGCGGGGGCGGCTCCCGGAGCGTGGTGCTCCTGTGGTTCTCTGCAGGCCACCTTCTTCATCGACTTCCTCATCAGCACCTTCTCGAGCCAGTGCTGCCGGACGCGCGTCTACCCCTGCTGCAGGTGCTGCGAGGAGTGGTGCGGGGTGAACGAGTACTACCACCGCAAGAAGTGTGAGACCGTGGTGGAGCCCAGCCGGGTAAGCACCCCAGGGCACTGGCCCAGCCCTAGATCAGGGGGGCCTGTTAACACAGGGCTCGGAGGGCATTGTGCCAAGGCAGGGTCTAGGGAAGGCAGACGCTTCTGACCCAGGACACGTTCAAACGGCACAGCCAATGAGAAAGCAGACTGTGAAAGCAAGCGGCAAGTGGGAATGCTTCCCTCGACCCATCCCACAGCAGCCTGCACTTGAGCCTCCAGGGAGGACCTGGGACCCACGCTGGTCACTGCAGCCCAGATTCTAACAGTGGAGAGACAGCACCTCCCCAGAGAATCACCAACTGCAGACTAAGCATTCGATTGGGAACCCAAAGGCTGGCGGTTCAAACACACCAGCTGCTCCACAGCAGAAAGCTGAGGCCCTCAGCTCTCACAGAGATGCCTCAGAAACCCTATGGGGTGGACCTGCTCTGTCCTGCAGGGCTGTGAGCAGAATGGCCTCGACAGCAGGCGGTGCTGGCTCACCAAATGGGGCTGGTCACCCTTCTACGCGTTAACTCCTCTCTTAGCTCATAAACCCACAGCAGGTGTGACGAGCGTCCCCGGAGCCCTGGGGGTGCAGTGCAGTCTGTGGTTAAGCATTGGATACCAACTGAAAGATGAACTCTGTTCTCTGAGTTAGCACCGGTCCAGGGGTCCAGTGGGGCTGGGCTTCCGCTCCCTGTTCTCCCAGGGGAGCCAGGCCTTGTCGCTAGAGCTCGCAGACCTGTGAGCTCACGGAACTGCCCACGGTGCTTCTCAGACAGGACTGTACGCAGGAGGCGGCGGCTCACGTTCCCGTCAGTGGCTGAGTACTGTGCACCACCAGACCCACGCCCACACTGCTGTCCACAGACCCTGAACCGTGGCACCAGGTGTCTGAGGCTATAAATCTTGAAGGGAGCAAACAGCCTCACCTCCCTCCAGCAGAGGCTCATGGATTCAAAGAGTGTGCCAGTTATAAGCTGAAGGTTTGCGGACACCCTACACCAAACATGTCTCTCCATTATCCCAACAGCCCACGTTCACATGGGGGTTCAGTGTCACAATTTTTTAATTCTTGCATAATTTTAAACTTTTCACAATTGTCTTGCACGCTCAACTGACGTGGCGTGGTGTCAACATAACTTCTCTATGCCCTGGGAATCAAGACGGCCCATGAGACTCACAATTCCAACTCACTCTTCACTGCAGCTCCCAGGGGCCAACCCTCCCTGCCAGAGGCCAGCCTCTGCTTCCAAAGGCCCACAGGGTTGCTGTCCCCTTGCCTCCTGTCGACCCCCTTCACCCGGGAGCACTGCTGCTGGTCTGCTTTCCCAGCAAGTGCATGCGTGATTTACAGTCCATTGTCCATGGATTTTCAATTTCAAGTAAAAGTTCATCTTGGCAGCTAAAAATCATCACTACTTTCCAGTCCTAGATGGGACGGAATTGAGCAAATCCGTCATTACGTTGCCACTGTATGTCTTCGTTGAGCTATGCAGTCCAGGGAACAGGGTGAAGAAGTGCAGGCAGGAAGGAAGGAGCAACAGAGAGAGGAGGCGTTTAGGCTGGCAGCTGGGTAGGCTCCGAATCACCAAGTTAAGGGGATCCACCAGTCTACTTTCTGGGTAATTTGTTTTTTAGTCCACAAATGCTCTTTTTAAAAAACCCTATATTATTTAAAAAATGACGGTATACTGGGTCCCATTTCTGATTTAGCTTTAGGCTTAGAAATGACTCCTTCCTGGTGACTGAAAGCTTAGGGTTGCTAGGTTCCAAGTCCGTCATTTGGTGCGTAGGAGTAACGGCTGTCTTTAGGTATATCCCTGTGAATCAGGATGTGCTGGTCTCTGTCATCTCCTGCCACACGGATAAACTTCTTCACTGCCTTTTTCCTCCTAGAGATTAAAGTACGTGTCCTTCGTGGATGAGCCTTACATCAGGAAGGTGGACCAGCAGCTCCTTGGGGAGAGCCTGCAGAACACCAAGGGGGAAGTAATCCAGGTAAGTATTTTCCAAGGGAGCCCTGGTGGCCTGCTCCCTACGGATGGGGGCTGTGGCCCCAAACGCCACACCTCTCTGGTGCTTCAGACCCAGCAGGGACTCTGCAGAAGGAAGAAGGAAAATGTCCTCTGTGTTGTTGTTGTCGTCGTCACTGATTGCTTTTGAGTCGAGCACAACTCATAGCGACCCTCTGAACAAAAGGCCTGAAGCCCCTCTACAACTATCAATATTGATCAAAGTTCACAGAGTTTCCAGAGGCATGTTGGAGTTGATGCCACTTCTGCTTCCAACAGCCTCAGAATCCCAGCTACCAGCCGGTTTCCACTCGTGGAAGGTAATACCCAGACTGGCCAGCAGAGGGGGGCTGGAGGGAGGGAAAGCATGGAACTAAAGCTTCAAGCTTTGCTGTCCAGTGGCGATCTGCTTCTGAAACATCGGCCACGGAAAACACCCAGTTCTACTCTAAGACAGACGGGGTCACCCGTGAGTTGGGCTCAGCTGCTGGCTTGGTTAGGTGCTGGACACAATAGACCTGCACTAGACCACCAACTAACGGCTGGTGGTTCCAATCTCGTCTGCGGTCCCATGAAAAGAAAGACTTGACAGTTCTGCGAAGATCACAGCCAAGTAGAGGTCTTGGGTCAGGTCCTTCAAAATGTGACATGCACTTATCAGCTCTGTAAAACAGAAATAATGACGGCGCTACCTTCTGAGGTCTTAGAATGCTTACCTGAGGCCGGGCTAGCTGGCTCCGCATTAGCATACGCCAGGTACACACAGAGTCCTCGTGGTGCGTTGGTTAAAGCATTTGGCTGCTAACTAAACCCAGAGGGAGGGGGGTGTGGGCCCACCAGCCACTCCAGGGAGAAAGGGGAAGCAGTAGTTGAAGAGTTCTGCCTTGGACACCCCACGGGGAAGTTCCACTCCGTGCTGTGGGGTCACTGCGAGCCGGAATCCACGCGATGGCAGCCAGTTTGGTTTTCCGCTGGGGGCTGGTACATACAAAGCATTAATAAGTGATAAGTGGCACAAAGAATGTAAAATTAGATGTAGCATCAAAATTAATCCCAAAAGGAAGGGATTTAGAACCCTGGAGATTGTCATTGTTGACAGTTTTGGAAACGACTTTTTCAGAGACCTCCGGTGGACTTCACAGAGCTGTCCAGGCTGCCCCCGTCTTTCCAAGAGCCGCCCTCAGCACCCCTGCAGCCTGGCGAGATGCAGCTGCTTGGGGAAGAGGTGCCCAGGTCGGAGGGCAGCCCCTCCTGGTGCCAGTGCGGTAAATGCCGCCCCTCCCAGCTCTCCAACAAGACGTCCAGGTGCCTGGAAGAGCTGTGCTGTCGGCAACGGCCTGGGGCCTGCATCACCACGTCGGCCGCCTTTCAGCAGCTCGTCCTGTCCAGGAGCTCGCTGCAGTTCCTCCTGCTCTACCAGGAGCCCCTGCTGGCGCTGGAGACCGAAGAGGCCACCAGCCGGCTGCGCCACTGCGCCTACCGCTGCTACACCGGCTGGCGCTTCGGCTCCCGGGAGGTGGCCGACTTCGCCATCGTGCCCAGCTGCTGCCGCTGGAGGATCCGGACGGAGTTCCCCAGGAGCGAAGGCCACTACAGCGGCTTCAAGAGTCCTTGCTGAGGGCCTGGGGCGACAGTCACTTTCATGACACCGTCAAAGGGCTCGGGCCAACCCTTCAGGCAAAGGGAAACTGCTTTCCAGATCGCCAACTCTCCCGGTGACCCAACAGACAGGCCTCCAAGCTTTCCATTTCCGTCTGCGCTCTGTCCCTGGCAGTCCTGTGGCCCTTGGGCTGTGGCCTCGGTCCTTCCCTGTCTCCTTATCACCAGGCCAGCTTGCCCACAGGGATCTTGTGGGGACAAATTCAGACAGTCGACGTGTACGCGGACTTTCTTGTTAATACTAAAAGCGGGGCTGTGAACTATTTCATCCCAGTTCCACCCCCGTGCTGAGAATTTGCTTTTTCACCCCAGATACGCTGAATTAGAATGTACATTTTAACAAGATCCCTGGGTGTTTTTTATAGATCTCGCTAAAATGTAGATTCTGCTATCAGTATTTCTGGGCTGGAACTGGAGTGAACCGGTGTGAAGCAGCTAGTTAAAAGCACTGGACAAATGCAAAGCATCCCGTACGTAATAAGCCGGGACAGTGATGGACTGAGAACTTGCCCTGGGCCCTGCGTGGAGGACGTGCAGAATTTGGACGATCGCAGTTCTATGTCATGTGGGCCCCAGACCAGCGGTATATATCTCAACAGTGCCAGTGACGCGGTGACAGGCTCAGGGCCTCGGTCCTGGCAGTGTCTACTGTTGGACCTTGGAAGCCAGCCACCCCATGAGAAGCTTGGTGACCTGGAGGCGGCCCTGCTGTGAGGAAGCCCAAGCGACCACGTGGAGAGGAGAAATGCCCGAGCAGCTGTTCAGAGTAGCCACGCCCGGTCAGCAGGCGCAGGGAGCACAGACGCCTTCGCTGACCAGCTTCTGCCAACATGAGTGCAGACGCCCCAAGAGGGAAGCGCCCAGCCACCCCGAAATGCTGTAAGCTCTACACGTGGGGTTGGTGTGACACCCAGGAGGGAGGACAAGCCTCATCTGTGGGGACACAGTCCCCTTTACTCTTACCGCCCTGGTCTGAGCCTGCAGGGGGCCTGCTCATTCCCGGAGCCCCTCCGAGGCCTGCGTTTCTAGGTGGCTGTTCTAGAAGGACTGACAGCCGGCCATACCATACACCTCGCCAGACCCGCTACCCAGTACAATGCAGTGCACATCACGCGTCCATGGGAGGGCTGACCATGCGGCCAGAACCTGACAAGGAGGAAGCCTTTCAGAAGCGCTCAGGCGGTTTGGTGGTGGAATTCTCACCTTCCCTGCTGGATGGAGACCTGGGTTCAAGCCAGGGCACCTCATGCAGATCGACCCATCTGTAGGGGATTACATGCTGCTGTTACGTTCAGCAGGCTTCATCAAAATTTCTAAACTCAGGACTATGAGAAAGGCCTGATGATCTACTTCCAGGAACCCGACCGACCAGGAGAGCCCTGTGGATCCACGCCAGACTGACGCCCTAGCCTGTCCTCTCCCGGGGGGACGGTGCAAGCTTGGACAGCATTTCATCCTGTGCGCACAGCTGCTTGGACTCTCCCGGACACGTGCAGGCCCAACAGCAGCTGTTCTGACACACGCCTCTAGCGGCCGGTGCTCGGCAGCCAGGCAGAGTTGGTGCAGGCTGGACACCTGCTTAAAAAGGAGCCCATATGCGAACCTTTGCCATCCTTACTGGCGCAGTGGTACCGACATAGGTCCAACATGGCAGAGACTGTGAGGCTGCCAAGGACCGGGCAGGTTTCGTCCTCTTGTACAAGGTGAGCTCGGAGTCATAGCCGACTGGACAGCACCTAACAACACCACAAATCAACTGCTTCTTGTTGTTGTTAGGTGTGGTCGAGTCAACTGTGACTCAGAGCGATCCTATGAGCAGTTTGAACCCTGCTCTGTCCAGAGCCAATGTCACCATCTCTGACCCACCTCCCCCCATGACCCCAGTCACTGTGTCAATCCACTTATCCAGAGTCCTTCTCTCCTGCACCGACCCTCCCCGCTTCCAAGAACAATGTCCTTCCCTAAAGACTGGTCCTTCCTGGCCACAGCCCAAAGGATGCGAGATGGAGTTTCCAAATCCTCAACTTCAGGGAGCATCCTGGCTTCCCCTTCTCCAGGACAGACCCGTTGTGTTAACAGTCCATGTTCACTACTCTTCTCAGCACCACAGCTCAGAGCACTGATCCTCCGGTCATGGGCAGCTGCCATGTGTTGTGATTTCAGTGATAGATACGGGTCTGGATCTACGTTTGAACAGCCTCCTTAAAGAAGAGTTTATACCACTGTCCAATGCTATCTCTGACAGAAGACCTGTGGCCTTTCTTTAACATAAACTAAGATCCATCATGTTGATCTTGGGACATGTAAAAAGTATCACTGGTTTATTAAACACAAAAACAAATGATCAGAAACACTCAACTTCATTTATGTAAAACTGGGATAAAAAGCCTTTTTGTAATAAAAAAAGTAGTTATTAAACCAGGAATTTGAGAGAAAAGGAAAAAAAACAAACAAACAAAAAAAAAAAAAACCAACCCTTTTTTGTGACCCAAGATGTTTTTCTGAGTTTCAACTTAAGAATCAAGTTAATTAGGTCAGAATGAACTTCCATTTTTACTATATTTTGGAGATATTTTTGAAAACTGGCTGATATCTGACTTCTTGGGAATGGAAACTATTGAGCCCAAAAATTGGCTGTAATTTCTGAGTTTCTCTTCTGCTGGCCTCTGAGCCTCTACACCCTCTTTCTTGGTGCCTTACTCCTAGTGTGCTCCAGTCACGGCGTTGAGCTGCAACTGGCCTCAGAATGTGACATGGTAACCACCGACCCCTGGCTCTCCCTGCTGGCCCTCCCTCCCCGGGGACACAGTGGGTGGGAGGTGCTGGGCTGTTTTAGCCGCAAGCTCAGAGCTACCAGCAGCAAAGTGGAGCACATTTCTTTTTATTTTAGTCTACTGCAGAAAATCACATCGCCATCAGAGGCATGCAAGTGAGAAGCCCCTTGGCCAGGCTGATTTCTGGTACCTCAAGCCATTTCTCTATTATGGTAACCACACAGGATTCATTGCCTCATCACTGTCTCAGAAGAAAACGGATCTTCTGTCTTATATCACTAGCTGATTTCATAAAGACCTGGTAATGGGTTAGCCTTTCACTCTTCAAGGGGACCATTTTTAAAAGCTCTTCCTACTTCTAACTCAGCAATATAGAAGTCTCCGCTTGTTTTGGGGGTAAAAGGGAGGAAATTGTGGACAGTTCATGTTTGTTTACATCTTCCCTCCCCTTTATTTCCTTTGCAGGCCCTTAATCGCAGTTCACTCATTGGCACTTTCATTTAACATTCAGAAAGTTTGGACAGACCTTGTTCAACTGCTTGCTCTCTCAACTTTCTTAGCATAGACTACTTTCCAGATGACCCATGAGTTACGAATCGCGCTCATTCAGGCGTTCACTGGGGATTAAGACTAGACAGAGCTTTTGTTCTCGGGGAGGGTGAGGAGCTGGGCATTCGTCAAATAACTCAAACAAATGTCAACCGGTGACAGGTACAATATGAAGAAGAGAAAGCATCTTGTATCAGGAGGGTCTGATCTACCGGGGAGGGGAGGGCAGAGAAGTTCATCCCTAGGAAGGCATCCTTTAGCTGAACTCTGAGGAGCAAGCACGAGTTACTGAGGCGAAGATGGAAAAGGTAGAGGCATACACAAAGAGCATGGGCCGTGAAAACAGCATGTGCAAAGGTCCTGGGGCTGAAAGAGCACAGCAGGCTTGCAGGACATAAAGAAGACTTAACACTTTACCAGAAAGAACGAAAGGACATGGGGTGGGAGGCAGGACTAGACCCAGCAGTCCATGCTCCCTCTTGCCAGCAAGTCAGCTTGACAAGTTGAGTCCAACTCACACTATGTCGATGAGGATTTTCTCTTTATTTAAGAATACTGGGTTGCTTGAAGGCTTTTAACCAGGAGCCTTGTAATTATACTGAAGGTCACTCTGATCACTGTATATGGGGAAAGACCTGGGAGCAGAGGTAGATATGGTTTTCATTTTCATTCTGGCCTCTCCTGACTCCATGAAACATGCAGCAAAGTGAACTGACTGCCTTTTTCTCTTCCTTCTGGGGAGGAATGAAAAGACAGGTGGCAACAGGAGAGAAAGGAGGAAGGCTTTGTGTGCCTTGCTTTTTAGACTGTTCTCTGTCCCGGGCTGGTGGGAGAGAGACCTCTTGTTGAGCTCCTCGTCTTGTCCAGGGTGGGGTGTACTGAACCTCGAGGTGAAGGCTGCTCAACAGTCCAGTGAGATGCCAGTATCAGGCTGAAAACTAAAGCCGGATGCCATGTGATGCCATCTGCTGATGCGGCTGTACAAGGACTAACATGGGGCCCCTTGGGCTGAGGCACATGTCATCAACTGAAGCCTCACCCGATTCCCCTTCCTCAGAAGCAGGAACTCAAGTCAGTCACCATTCCTGAAAACCCCCAAGGTCTCCCAACTCAATTCCTTCCACTGCATTTTGGAAAAGATTCAGATGGCATTATCTTCTTTCCCTTTTACTGGGCTTTTTTGGTTTTCCATTCTTACGAGGGTTATGAGTCATGTTTTCCAAATAAATGATGACCTATGAAGAGATCTGTATGTCCAACTTCCTAAGTGTTTTTATCGACCATCACATGAGTCTTTGTCTTCAGGAAGTGGGAAAGTAAGTAACTCATGCTAAGGGACTGGTTTAACCAAGTCATTTCCATACTTGACAGGCTTGCATAAGCCCCAGCTCAGAAATGCAAAAAGGTACAGCGGGGAAGAAGCTGACCCTGGAAACCGACCTGCCGGGTTCAAACCCTGGCTCTGCCACTTACCAGCTGAATAAGCCCAGGCAGTTTACATACTTGTTTGCACCAAGGGTCATTTGGAGCATGGCGTGTTCCATGTATGTGAGGCGTCCAGCACGCTGTCTGGCACAGAGTTAAGTCCAGGGTAAATGCTAACTGTTCCTCTGCAGGAGATCTGGTGCTGTGGGAC